TTTACAACTTCTTTCTCTTTCCCTTGGCTCTTTGAAACAGAGTCTTTTTATGTGGCCTGGACCATCCTTGAATTCATGATGATCTTACTGCTTCAGCCTCCTGATTGCAAGGATTACAAATGTACCCTACCATGTCTGGCTTCTAATGTCTTTAAAACCCACCATTTTTACATACAATCTTCTTTTCCTCTTCTGCTTTGATCTTAAGTTTATGATGGTACTAAGTCAGATGCAAAAATCTCCTGTGTATGTATATTTTCATGGTTACTAATATTTATGCATACCCTTGATATTTGTAATTGTAACTGTTAGAGGCCATTTTATAAACTACTGTTCTTGCCTAAGTAGGTGTCCTGGTTGCTGCATTTATATATGAGGAGAAGAGTACAGGATCTTCTGTAGAGTATTTAGCAGAGTTCCATGGAGCCGAAATCAGAAAAAGACATTTCAGGGCATTCCAGGTGGTCCACAGATATCAGTCTATACCTAAATTAAGACAGAAATAAACCCATGTGTTCATTAAGAAGAGCTGGGAAGCCTGAGCAGACAGGACACAACCCTGTGATGAATGTAAACTAATTTCATTTCATAGAAAAACAAAAGAAAAAACACAGTGTGAATCTCCCTTCCCATTACAGCAAGTAGAGGCTCCAATTTCCTATGCAATAGGGAACGGTGGAGACAGAATTGTGGATAGGAATTTTGCAAGTTAAAAGCTTTTTTTTTTTCTCTTGTGAGTAGAATACAAAGGACTTCTAGAAGTCTTAAAAATGCCACAAACACTACCAATATTATGTGGATTCAAAATATATATATTCACCTATACAGGAGATGTACTACTTATACTTGAACACTAAAGCTCAGGTCAGTCCAGATACCACTAGAAATTAAACAATGCGAGTCAGATATGAACGGCTGTCACTAACCCAGGGGACACCGTTGTGTCTGGTGTTGGTCTGGCACACATGCTTAGTTGAGGAGTGCAGACCTATTCACTGTCCTTTCCTTTGGAGACTCTCGTGCAGGACAGAACTTGTAGAGCAGTGTGTGGTGGTCCTGCGCTGTAATCTCAAAGCTGTCTGTGTGCTCAGAATTTAGGGATAAGGATTTCTGTGGGCCTCTCTAGCACTTTGCTTCTTCCTGTTCTCATGTGGTCTTCATTTACCATGGTCTCCTATTCCTTGTTCTCCCTCTCTGTTGTTGATCCAGCTGGGATCTCCCGCTCCCCCAAGCTCTCTTTCCCTCAACCCTCGCCTTTCATTACCCCCACTCATGTCCAGGCTGTTCATGTAGATCTCATTCCATTTCTCTGTCATTGGGCGATCCCTGTGTCTTTCTTGGGGTCCTGTTTTCCAGGTAGCCTCCCTGGTGATGTGAGTAGCAGACAATTCATCCTTGTTTCATGTCTAGTATCCTGCTATGAGTGAGTACATACCATGTTTGTCTTTCTGAGTCTGGGTTACCTCACTCAGGATGATTTTTTCTAGATCCATCCATTTGTCTGCAAACCTCATGATGCCATTGTTTTTTTCTGCTGAGTAGTATTCCATTGTGTATATGTACCACATTTTGTTTATCCATTCTTCAGTTGAAGGGCATCTGGGTTGTTTCCATGTTCTGGCTATCAAAGATACCCACACAACAGACTGCCGGCAATGGTCGAGAGACAGCCCGAACTGACCTACTCTGGTGATGGGATGGCCAAACACCCTAATTGTTGTGCTAGAAACCTCATCCAACTACTGAGGGATCTGGATGCAGAGATCCATGACTAGGCCCTGGGTGGATCTCTGGGAGTCCAATTAACGAGAATGAGGAGGGTTTATATGAGCGAGAATTGTTGAGACCAAGGTTGGATAAAGCACAGGGACAAATAGCCAAATGAATGGAAACACATGAACTATGAACCAATGGCTGAGGGGTCCCCACTGGATCAGGCCCTCCGAATGGGTGAGACAGTTGATTGGCTTGATCTGTTTGGGAGGCATCCAGGCAGTGGGACCAGATCTTGTGCTCAGTGCATGAGCTGGCTGTTTGAAACCTGGGGCCTATGCAGGATTGTTTGGCTTGGCCTGGGAGGAGGGGACTAGACCTACCTGGACTGAGTCTACCAGGTTGACCTCAGTCTGTGGGGAAGGCTTTGCCCTGGAGGAGATGGGAAGGGGGGGGGGGGGCGTTGGGGGGAAGGTGAGGGGGACGGGAGGGGGGGGGGGAGAACAAGGGAATCCGTGACCGATATGTAGAACTGAATTGTATTGCAAAATAAATTAAAATAAATTAAAAAAAAAACAAAAAAAAAAAACAAAAAAAAAAGAGACATACAGATTAATGTGGAAAACTGTATTCTAGTAAAATGAGATCTGTTTATAGTTAAAAAAAAAAAAAGAATTTAGGGATAAGGTCTTCAGATCAGCATCTTGGCTTTGGAATGACAAACTCAACAAATGGCTGAGAAGACCCTGAATCTGTATTTGCTAACACAAAAAAGTAAACGTATTTTCTCTTAGCAGAAGCTGCCTCCCTCTTCTGCCTCTTCTTCATCAAAAAAATAAACTGCCAGAGATTTTAATCTCCTGGGCGATGCTGCAGCATTTGTGCAAAAAATAAAGATGGTGAGAGGCCTCTTTTGGACAGCCTCAGATTTGATGTATAGTTGTAAAGCAAGCTTTTCACTAGAGCTCGTAGATTGGCTCAGTTAGCAGCAGTGTCCATCCATTTTCAATAACACAGATACGTCTAATACTTTTATGTTTTTTCATAATGAGATACCCTCAAAGAGACCGTATCTGTTTTCAGACTTGCAGTACTAACACTGAATTTGCTTATTCATTCTCAGAAGAAAAGATCTATTAAAGAGTGCAAACTTTGAAAATGCAAAGGAAACGGCCAATGATGATGGGTGGAAATGAAAATGACACCTAAATTATTTAGTAACTGTTGATGTGTAGGTAGCTCATGCAGCAGGCTTGCTATCAGAAAACACAGGGGAAGCTGGGCGGTGGTGGTGCACCTCTTAAATCCCAGCACTGGGGAGGCAGAGCCAAGTGGATCTCTGTGAGTTCTAGGCCAGACTGGGCTACCAAGTGAGTTCCAGGAAAGGTGCAAAGCTACACAGAGAAACCCTGTCTCAAAAAAAAAAAAAAAAAAAAAAAAAGAAAACACAGGGGATAGAATTGTATTTCCTTCACTCACTTTTCATGTCAGTTAAACTTCCTGAGACTCAGTTTTCCTCCTCTGTACAATAAAGTAATGATCCCAACCTCATTCATTCATTAAGGAATATAAATGAGAAGGTACAGGCAAATATAATATATGAATGAGAAGGTATAGGCAAACATCTGCCACACCCGTGTGCAGAGTGCACACTTGGGAAGTTGTGTTTTGTTTCTTAAAACAAAAGCTTGATGATGTGTCAGTCTAATAAAAATAATCCAACCAGATAAATCTCAAGGTCATGGACCCTTTTTTTGGGAGACACACTCTCTTTTTGGGAGAAAACAGTGTGGATTTAGAGTTTCCATACTTTCTGAGGCTTAATAGGATCCATAGTAATAAGGCTGTGGCAGCTCAGCATCCCATTCAGAAAGTCCTGCTCTTTTTCCTAGCCATCTTCAAGCCTCTAAAAGAATGAGCTTATTCTGTTCTATTTAAAGTGTCTTGAGGACCTAGACCATGGTGATGTAGATGTGGTCAGCAGAAACCAGAGTGTGCGGCAGCCATTCTTGTGCGCTCTTTGTTTATGGAGTGTCCCAAGGGATTAGAAGTAACCAGCTAGACCGTTGTTCTCACCAAAGTAATGAGGCTTGTGCCTGCGATGTGGTATGACGCCAAAGGAAGAATGATCCTGTTGAATTATGTTTTTCAGTCTGTTTTTGAGAGTAAAATTATATCTTCCTTTCCCACATCCTCACCAAAGTGACTTTGTTCACCATAAACTTTTTGTTCTAAACTGATGCTTCAAAAGAGAGGCACATTTCCTTCCTTTTACTGAAGACTTAATGAATCATACAAGTCAGATCTTTAAGGGAAGTTAAAATATTGTTTTTACTCCCAAAGCTCAAGCTTTTAAAATGCACTTGACTGAATAAACATTTACACTTCTGTTTTCTTTGTGCCTTTCATGTGTAGACCTAAACCACTAACTGAAATGATTTTTTTTCCAGTGTACAAACTATACTGTGGGAATAAATTGAACATTTCTGGAAGCCATTTTAACTTCATTAGGCCAATAAAAGCTCATTCAAGGAAACATTATTGAACATTCAGTCAATGCCCATTTATTTTGTCAAACCCACATTGGCATCTTACAGAACGTCTTCCTTTACTTTATCCTAGGAATTTAGTGTTTTTGTGAAAGGATATTAGTCTCCACATCTCATTAAGGAACAGTCATTCATAGGAGAAACTGCAGTGTTATTCACACACATACAGCTTTCCTAATCTTTTGCTTGACTCTTGTGTTTCCTGGGAAAATATTACACAAACCATTGATTCTTGAGACAGTGCAATAGTCTAGAACTGCAGTGTTGAAAGAAAGATATGTTGGATGTCACTTGGTCATTGAGAATATTGATAACATTCTCAGAATAGAGCATCGAATGCTTGAATACCCAGATTGTTTGTTTACCTCAGATATTACACATGTACTGCTGCCTCTAAGTTTGCTAGTCTGCTTAAGTGTGCTGTGGACTGGCTGATACTGGGTTAACTCCGTCCTATTCACACAAGTTTTTTTCTTCCTCATTAACATTAGTTCTTTTAGTATAAAAACATAGCCTTCTTACCATTATCAAACTGATGTCAAGAGATTAAAATATGGAACCATTCTGTCTAAAATCTATGTCCTCCGTTTTTATGATTACTTTTTCTGATACCCTGGCTTTGACTGGATAGCTACACATTGTTTATCCAACAAAGGGCTGAGATCTGACTCAATCTTTTCAGCAAGAAAAAGTGATGGCTGATGATGTCCACTTACTTGTTATTCTTTTCTAGGATTTGCCATGGAACGGGTATGGTTGCTGCTCCTTCTAGCGGTTAGAGTGCTTCCAGGGTCTGCTCAGTTCAACAGTTACAACTGTGATGCCAACCTCCACAGCAGATTTCCTGGTGAGTCTGGGCATCATCTAACTGTCTAACTGCTTCTAGGAAGAATAGTTATGTGTGAATAGTCAATCATCTAAATACATATTGAAAATGAGTTCTATCCCTTTACATTGAGTGGATATTAACAATGGAATATGAGATCAAGAAAATTTTTCTGGAATTGTAATTTATATCCACATTAACATACAAAGTGGTCATCAAAGTTAATATCATAATGACTGCTCACAAATATGAAAAAAAATATTAGCCAGTGGGCAATAAATTGTGAGTCTAATTTCCTTCAAGAATTTGCCTAGCTGATGACTTTTTTCTCAACATAATTTAGACTTTTAAAACTATCTTTACATGAGAATATATTTATTTGGGAGTCATATTTAAGGGAATACTTGTGAAATATTATATGATACTTCCAAAATACTGCTTCAATGAAATGTTTATCATCATCAAGTTGGACAGGTCAGCTTTTGAATGAATTTTACAAAAACTTACCAATATAATAGTTGTGATATTTGTCCATATTTGTGGACATGTCCTAGGTCAATAAACCAACACTTAAATAAGAGGTACTCTGTATCTTATGTAAGTGTCATTATTTATTAGCTAGGGTTACATCATCTTCATTCCACATTTACAAAGTAATGATCAGAGAATCAGAAACTGCTTTTCCAAGTCTCCCATGTGAACTTCAAGACCTTTGGCCAGCATTTACACTCTTCATACTTGCCGAACTCCCATTTTCGGAAAACATGAGAGCAATAAACCTGAACAGAGCAATCAGTACGTGGTTCCATTTGTTGAAGCAAGAGTTTTGAAGTGAGACTGGAGTGTGGCCAAGTGGTTTCATGAACCCAGACCTATTGTCTGGATTCTTGGCCTGTGAGGCAAGATATAGAGATCATTGTGGCAAATTCTCAAAGGTAAATCTATAGAATGTGTGAAGGTGAGGTTTTAATAGTACTGAATGTCACAAATAAATTCTCTTTTAAAGCACCTTTACTTTATAGCTAATATCCACTTATGAGTAAGTACATACCATGTTTGTCTTTCTGGGTCTGCATTACCTCACTCAAGATGATTTTTTTACAGTTCTATCTATTTCCCTTCAAATTTCTTGATGTCACTGTTTTTAATACTCCAATGTGTAAATTACCACATTTTCTTTACCCATTCTTCAGTTGAGAGGCATCTAGGTTTTTTCCAGGTTCTGGCTATTACGAATAAAGCTGTTGTGACTATAGTCAAACATATGTCCTTGTGATATGATTGAGCATTCTTTGGGTATATGCCCAAGAGTGGTATAGCTGGATCTTGAGGTAGATTGATTCCTAATTTTCTGAAATCAACCACCATATTGATTTCCAAAGTGGTTGTACAAGTTTGCACTCCCACCAGCAGTGGAGGAGTGTTTCCCTTGCTCCACATCCTCTCCAGCATAATCTGTCACTTTGTGTGTATGTGTGTGTGTGTGTGTGTGTGTGTGTGTGTGTGTGTGTGTGTGTGTGTGTGTGCTTATCTTAGACATTCTGACAGGTTAAGATGGAACCTCAGAGTTATTTTATTTGCATTCCCCTGATGGCTAATGATACTGAACATTTCTTTAAGTGTTTCTCTGCCATTTGAGATTCTTCTGTTAAAAATTCTTTGTTTAGTTCTGTACCACATTTTAAAATTGAATTATTTGGTTTTTTTTGATATCTAGTTTCTTGAGTTCTTTATATGTTTTGGAGATTAGGCTTATGATGGATGTGGGATTGGTGAAGATCTTTTCCCAATCTGTAGGCTGCCATTTTGTCCTATTGACAGTTTCCGTTGCCTTACAGAAGCTTTTCAGTTTCATGAGGTCCCATCTATTAATTGTCAGTCTTAGTGGCTAGGTAACAAAGAAGGTCCAAGGAGGGAATGCATGGATCTTCCTTGGGAGAGGAACTAGAAGAGATCTCCTGGGTGGACTGGAGATGGGTGGGAATGGGAACTTAAGGGATCAAGTTGGGGGGTGGGTGAAGGGGAGAATACTGAAAGAGAAGACTGGAAAGTGAAGGGAGCATTTCGAGGTCAGGTAGAAAAGTGATGCAAGGGAAACTCCCATGAATCTACAAGAATGACCCCAGCTAAGATGCCTAGCAATAATGGGTATGTAACCTGAACTGGCCATCTCCTATGATAGGACTGGTGACTCTCCCAGTTGTCATCAGAGAGCCTTCATCCAGTAACTAGTGGAAATGAATGCAGACCCACAGCCAAACATTAGGCAGAATTAGGGAAAACTCCTGAAGGGAGGGAGGAAGGACTGTAGGATCCAGAACAGTCAAGGACATCACAACAAAACCCACAGAAACAACTAATCAGGCTCATTGGAACTCACATAATCTGAATCAACAACCAAGGAGTCTGCATGAGACTGACCTAGGTCTTCTACAAATATGTGACAGTTGGGTAGCTTGGTCTACTTGTGGGACTCCTAACAAGGAGAGCAGGGACTGTCCCTAATTCTTTGGCTGGCTCTTGGGAATCTACCTATTGCTCATACTTGATTGCTTGGCCCAGCCTTAATACAAGTGAAGGTACTTAGTCTTACCAAAACTTGGTATTCCGTGCTTTATTGGTACGTATGGGAGGCCTGTCCCTTTCTGAATAGAAATAGAGGAGAAGTGGATTGGGAGAGTGTGAGGCATAGGGGAAGAGAGGAAGGAGGGGAAACTGTGGTCTGGATATAAAATAAATAAATAAAGTAAATTTAAATAATACTTAGAATGGACAATTTCAAACACACACATAAGTAAGAATAGTTTTTAAAAAATCTCAAATTCGTCATACAGATTTATTTACTATGCACATTTATAATTTTTGTTTCATCTCTCCCTTCCACTCCCATTTCTGGACTATTTTAAAGTAAACTTATTTTTCATGCTTTGGTATGCATAGCTAATGGAAATAAGTTTAAAAATCATTAAGCTTTATGCACATATCTAATACATTTCATAATTCCTTGATATGCTTTAATGCTCAGCCGAGTTGCCTCTAATTTGGTCATTTGTCCTATACTATCGAATCTATAGGATCCTGACACTCTGGATGCAGCTGCATGCAAGTCAGAGGCACTGTCAGCATGCTCTTCCTGCAAACCCTGTGAACTAACTAGAGCTGCAGTTTTGAGCAAATTATGTTTAATTGTTTTGGCAAGAATGCTGTCTGGTATATAGTGTAATGGAAATGTTCTTACTTTATTTTGTAGGCAGAAAAGAGACACTGAATCTTTTTTTAACACGGTTTTTGATAGGTGTGATATGGTCTGCTTTGTTTTACGAAAGATGTGTTGTTTGGAAAAGTGAAAGAGTCAAGTTAGAAGAGACTATGGGCAGAGAGAAAGCTCATGAAGGGACTGGCAGTGGGAGTAAATAGAAGGAGACACCTTTGTTAAGAGAAATGTTTCTGTTGGATTCAGCAGAGGTTAAGATTGATTTGATTTGGAAGAGAAAGGGAAGGCTAGATGATGTTTTGCCCATGGGCAACTGGTGTTGATGTTGTCAGCTAATGTGGAAAATTAAAATACTTCATGCTTTAAAAAATGTTGGGATTTGGAAATAATAGCTTAGGGGAACTTTCTGGAGAATGGATAGTGGCATCATCTCTCTCCTAGTAGGAAGTGCAGACCTGGGTCTGAGAAGGGACATCCAGAGAGAAGATAGCTATGTAAAAACTGAATCTCTGTATGGTGTGTGAACAGAAAATGGGGGTGGCATAAATATGGCAGGTTTGTCAAAAAAGGATACTGTTAAGATTATTTTTATGGTGAAGGAAGAAGAGTAGCCTAAGTCAGAAATTTAAATTAGGAGTGTTTTTAGATCTTGAGCCCTGAGCTCTCAGAATGGAAAGTCCTCAGATACTGGAAATACTAAGGAGGAAATAAATGATGTAATAGAGAAAGAAAGTATAGAATGGTATAGGCATTACCCTGTGATTGCTAACACTGTTTTTTTTATTTAGGAGAAAGGAGAAAGGGAGAAATAAAGACACAAAGAGAGAAGGGCAGAGGCACTGATTGTATTCCTCAAATCAGGCAATGGGAGGTAGCCTTTGTGAGAGCTAAGAGACCAGATGGCTAGGTAGGGCAGTTTAGACAGGATCTTACTTGGCTAGGTAAAGGGGCTCACTTGTTCAAAAGATTGCTCAACAGAGATAATCTGGCTCAACAGAGACAATTTGGCTGATGTAATTCCATGTTCTTTCTCCTCCTTTGACTCTTTTTCTTCTTCTTCTTCTTCTCCTTCTTCTTCTTCTCCTTCTTCTTCTCCTCCTCCTCCTCCTCCTCCTCCTTCTTCTCTTCTTTTCTTCTTCTTCTTCTTCTTCTTCTTCTTCTTCTTCTTCTTCTTCTTCTTCTTCTTCTTCTTCTCTTCTCTTCCTCTTCTTCTTACTTGCTGTGTTTATATTATTCTTCCCCCTTTTTAAATAAATTTTTTTCATACATTATATTCTGATCATGGTCGCCTCTCTTTCAGCTTCTCCCAGATCCTTTCCACTGCCCCACCCACAGAACTCCACACCATTTCTTTCTCTCAAAGTAGAATAAAATGTGTTGGTTGGCTGTAAAGTCACAAGGACAGCAAAAGATTATATTTATTCTATGGTATAAACTAAAGAACTATGTTAAAACATTCATTTACAGTAGTTAATTGTATCTACTGACCTCTTACAACAAAAATCATTTTGAGTAGTTGTGGGATTCATTATCTTACCCTAAGTACATAGGGTTGGTCTCTAAGTATGATGACTGAAATCTGTATTTACACTTATGAACCCAATGTACATCTATGATTAATAATAAGTGACTGTGTGCTCTCGCTTTGTTTCAGAGTCCATTATTTTATTAAATGACAATCTTGTATTTGGAAACTGTCATTGAGAAATAGAATCTCTTGGTCTAAAACTCCTCTGTGCCTGCATAGTAAAGAGGAAAACACCTTTGGCATTGAATAAACACTAATCTCACTCATCAGAGTACCACA